AGCAAATGATGCTGGAGGATGAAGCAGTTGTTTGCTTTTCAGAAGAGAATCAGGCTGGTGGGGAGTGAAGGTAGGTTAATTAATGCTTTTGGGACCGTACACTTAAAATGCAATGACAAAAGGCACGTTGATAGTATTAATTGAGCTGCTAAACCTTTCTGTGAAGTGATTTGTGTGCTGTTGAGGGAACCCAGCCATTGCTGATCGCAACATGTTTTAGGAAATGTCATTTTTCCCTGAAGATATTGTATGTCATGTCCTGCACCTGAAGGTGGAAAATGGTGATGGTGTGAAAACTTCTCAGGTATGGGCTTACCTGGGGGTGTAGTTCCATCTGTACAGGAGGGGAGACAGGCTGGGGTCACTTCAGACAGCACAGGGGATTGGAGCAGGGAAGACTTAGAAAAATAACATCATCTCTTTTATAAAGCTACAAAATGGTACTTTCAAGGGTTCCACTGGTGGCTGGACCCTGGTTTGTTTTCAAGCTCTTCTGTGAACGCAGCCTGCGGTGTTGTACATACTCTGCTTTGATTGCTTTTAGCAGCTAAAGAGTGACAGCCTTGTCCTGGGGCTCCGTCCACCTGCTCCAGCCTGAGGGGACGATTCTCCAGTCCCCTGCTAGCCCCGAACCCCTCTTGGTCACCAAAGAAGGGAGCTTTCATCTCCTATGGGAGAGGGAGAAGCAAATGATGCTGGAGGATGAAGCAGTTGTTTGCTTTTCAGAAGAGAATCAGGCTGGTGGGGAGTGAAGGTAGGTTAATTAATGCTTTTGGGACCGTACACTTAAAATGCAATGACAAAAGGCACGTTGATAGTATTAATTGAGCTGCTAAACCTTTCTGTGAAGTGATTTGTGTGCTGTTGAGGGAACCCAGCCATTGCTGATCGCAACATGTTTTAGGAAATGTCATTTTTCCCTGAAGATATTGTATGTCATGTCCTGCACCTGAAGGTGGAAAATGGTGATGGTGTGAAAACTTCTCAGGTATGGGCTTACCTGGGGGTGTAGTTCCATCTGTACAGGAGGGGAGACAGGCTGGGGTCACTTCAGACAGCACAGGGGATTGGAGCAGGGAAGACTTAGAAAAATAACATCATCTCTTTTATAAAGCTACAAAATGGTACTTTCAAGGGTTCCACTGGTGGCTGGACCCTGGCTTGTTTTCAAGCTCTTCTGTGAATGCAGCCTGCGGTGTTGTACATACTCTGCTTTGATTGCTTTTAGCAGCTAAAGAGGAAATGACAATTTGTTTGTTTGGGTTTTGGGTTGGTTTTTCTTTTGTTTGTTTCTTTTGGGTTGGTTGTTTGGGTGGGTTTTTTTGTTTTGGTTTGTTTTTTCTTTTTTTTTCTTTTTTTTAAGATGCGTTCCCAGCCCTCTTGTAGTTCACCCAGAGTCTGCACAAGGGGCCAGGCCTGGCAGGGTGATGTGCTTCCAGGGCTGAGACACCGTGAAATCCAGACCAGCTCACTTAGGTCTGCTCTGAAGTTTGTCTCTCGTGGAGTAACATCCTCTGCTCTGGAAGAGAAATGTTATTTTTAAGGGCAAGGTGAGCCCCTGGAGTGAGAATGTTGCAGGAAAGCCCTGCTCTGCTGGCTCTGGGCCAGGTACCTGGTTATTGACATAACGGCTAAATGATGTTTTCCTCTCCTTCCCTTTGTTTGTTTTTCAGTTACAATTCCCTTGTTCTATTTTTTTTTTTTCCTCCTTGTTTGTGTCCCGTTGGATCTGGTGACTGTGGGAAGGGATCTCTGCCCCCGTGATGAGATGCTGTGGGGCTGGGGAGGAGGAGGAAGCGCCCTGAGCTGTCAGAGCTCAGCTGAGGTTTGCTGATCTCTGGAAAAAAGAGACTGGTCTTGTGATGCAGGCTGTGGGTTTTCACATCCCGTAGCCTCTGGGTGGAAGCTGGCTCCGTCCCCGCGGCAGCGGTGGCTCCTGAAGGCAGGATCTCTCCCTGCCCTTTTGAAGTTGTGTTCTCCTGGTCTTGGTGGAGCCGGGGGAAAATGCTGCAGGAACTTCTGTGAGGCTCTGGCTCGGGAATGACAGACCTGTGAGCTGGAAGGGCTGCTCCGAGCCCCACATCGCGGGCCGGGGGCTTGGTGGTGGCAGTGCCAGCGCTCACTGATGCCATGGTGCCGGTGCCACCGCTCACCGGCCCCACTCCTCCCGCTGCAGAGAGGAAGGGACAACCTCAGTGGCACCAGGATGGGTGCTGTGTCCAGGCTGGGGGAGCTGATTCACTGGGTGCACTGGTGACGTCGAAGCATGAAATGGGGAGAAAAGCCTGGAGCGCCTGGTGTTGATGGAAGAGCGCGGCGAGGGCTGAAGCATCGTGGCCGGGGCTGGCTCTGCCGGCAGCGGGGTGCTCCGGCTTCCTCCTCGCCAGTGCTGGCATCTGAGTCACTTCCAGGCGTCGCGGGGCTGGACCCCATCAGGTTTTCCTTCCCTTTGCTCGAAAAGCGAGGGCTGAAGGAGGCAGAGGAGGAGGAGGAGGACGGGAGCTGGAGGAGGATGGCTTTTCACTCACGCAAGCGTCGGGGGCAGCAGGAGCCCTGCGGTACGTACCCTGCTGCTGGGGCGTCCTGGGGAGTGCCCGACCCGGTAGGAAAGAAGCAGTCGTTGCCTGATGAAGTGTTTTGGTAAATGAACAACATAGATAAGCAGGAGAACAGTCTTTTTTTTTGATGCTCATGGTGTAGCCTGGAAAGGCATCGCTTGCCCATAGAGGGAGCAAAGAGTAAGAAAAGTGACTTAAACCTGTGTCTCGGGGGCTGCGTTAGGACTCGGAACTGAATTATCACCTTCTCTGTCCTTTCTGTGCTGCATCCTGGGTGTCACCCGGGCTCTGCTGCGACTGAGGGTGCTGTGCTTCTTGGCGTGGGTTTGGGCTTGAAAACTCTAAATGAGAACAGATTTGGGGCGAGCAGGAGGGGACATTGCTCCAGTTTCTGCTCTTCAGATGGGGACTTGTGGCTGCCCGTGTGGGCTGAGGGACAGCCTAGGGAGAAGCGGGTGATGCTGGAGGATGAAGCAGTTGTTTGCTTTTCAGAAGAGAATCAGGCTGGTGGGGAGTGAAGGTAGGTTAATTAATGCTTTTGGGACCGTACACTTAAAATGCAATGACAAAAGGCACGTTGATAGTATTAATTGAGCTGCTAAACCTTTCTGTGAAGTGATTTGTGTGCTGTTGAGGGAATCCAGCCATTGCTGATCGCAACATGTTTTAGGAAATGTCATTTTTCCCTGAAGATATTGTATGTCATGTCCTGCACCTGAAGGTGGAAAATGGTGATGGTGTGAAAACTTCTCAGGTATGGGCTTACCTGGGGGTGTAGTTCCATCTGTACAGGAGGGGAGACAGGCTGGGGTCACTTCAGACAGCACAGGGGATTGGAGCAGGGAAGACTTAGAAAAATAACATCATCTCTTTTATAAAGCTACAAAATGGTACTTTCAAGGGTTCCACTGGTGGCTGGACCCTGGTTTGTTTTCAAGCTCTTCTGTGAACGCAGCCTGCGGTGTTGTACATACTCTGCTTTGATTGCTTTTAGCAGCTAAAGAGGAAATGACAATTTGTTTGTTTGGGTTTTGGGTTGGTTTTTCTTTTGTTTGTTTCTTTTGGGTTGGTTGTTTGGGTGGGTTTTTTTGTTTTGGTTTGTTTTTTCTTTTTTTTTCTTTTTTTTAAGATGCGTTCCCAGCCCTCTTGTAGTTCACCCAGAGTCTGCACAAGGGGCCAGGCCTGGCAGGGTGATGTGCTTCCAGGGCTGAGACACCGTGAAATCCAGACCAGCTCACTTAGGTCTGCTCTGAAGTTTGTCTCTCGTGGAGTAACATCCTCTGCTCTGGAAGAGAAATGTTATTTTTAAGGGCAAGGTGAGCCCCTGGAGTGAGAATGTTGCAGGAAAGCCCTGCTCTGCTGGCTCTGGGCCAGGTACCTGGTTATTGACATAACGGCTAAATGATGTTTTCCTCTCCTTCCCTTTGTTTGTTTTTCAGTTACAATTCCCTTGTTCTATTTTTTTTTTTTCCTCCTTGTTTGTGTCCCGTTGGATCTGGTGACTGTGGGAAGGGATAGGGGAGATGGGCTGGTGTCACTTCAGACAGCACAGGGGATTGGAGCAGGGAAGACTTAGAAAAATATCTCTATTATAAAGCTACAAAATGGTACTTTCAAGGGTTCCACTGGTGGCTGGACCCTGGCTTGTTTTCAAGCTCTTCTGTGAATGCAGCCTGCGGTGTTGTACATACTCTGCTTTGATTGCTTTTAGCAGCTAAAGAGGAAATGACAATTTGTTTGTTTGGGTTTTGGGTTGGTTTTTCTTTTGTTTGTTTCTTTTGGGTTGGTTGTTTGGGTGGGTTTTTTTGTTTTGGTTTGTTTTTTCTTTTTTTTTCTTTTTTTTAAGATGCGTTCCCAGCCCTCTTGTAGTTCACCCAGAGTCTGCACAAGGGGCCAGGCCTGGCAGGGTGATGTGCTTCCAGGGCTGAGACACCGTGAAATCCAGACCAGCTCACTTAGGTCTGCTCTGAAGTTTGTCTCTCGTGGAGTAACATCCTCTGCTCTGGAAGAGAAATGTTATTTTTAAGGGCAAGGTGAGCCCCTGGAGTGAGAATGTTGCAGGAAAGCCCTGCTCTGCTGGCTCTGGGCCAGGTACCTGGTTATTGACATAACGGCTAAATGATGTTTTCCTCTCCTTCCCTTTGTTTGTTTTTCAGTTACAATTCCCTTGTTCTATTTTTTTTTTTTCCTCCTTGTTTGTGTCCCGTTGGATCTGGTGACTGTGGGAAGGGATCTCTGCCCCCGTGATGAGATGCTGTGGGGCTGGGGAGGAGGAGGAAGCGCCCTGAGCTGTCAGAGCTCAGCTGAGGTTTGCTGATCTCTGGAAAAAAGAGACTGGTCTTGTGATGCAGGCTGTGGGTTTTCACATCCCGTAGCCGCTGGGTGGAAGCTGGCTCCGTCCCCGCGGCAGCGGTGGCTCCTGAAGGCAGGATCTCTCCCTGCCCTTTTGAAGTTGTGTTCTCCTGGTCTTGGTGGAGCCGGGGGAAAATGCTGCAGGAACTTCTGTGAGGCTCTGGCTCGGGAATGACAGACCTGTGAGCTGGAAGGGCTGCTCCGAGCCCCACATCGCGGGCCGGGGGCTTGGTGGTGGCAGTGCCAGCGCTCACTGATGCCATGGTGCCGGTGCCACCGCTCACCGGCCCCACTCCTCCCGCTGCAGAGAGGAAGGGACAACCTCAGTGGCACCAGGATGGGTGCTGTGTCCAGGCTGGGGGAGCTGATTCACTGGGTGCACTGGTGACGTCGAAGCATGAAATGGGGAGAAAAGCCTGGAGCGCCTGGTGTTGATGGAAGAGCGCGGCGAGGGCTGAAGCATCGTGGCCGGGGCTGGCTCTGCCGGCAGCGGGGTGCTCCGGCTTCCTCCTCGCCAGTGCTGGCATCTGAGTCACTTCCAGGCGTCGCGGGGCTGGACCCCATCAGGTTTTCCTTCCCTTTGCTCGAAAAGCGAGGGCTGAAGGAGGCAGAGGAGGAGGAGGAGGACGGGAGCTGGAGGAGGATGGCTTTTCACTCACGCAAGCGTCGGGGGCAGCAGGAGCCCTGCGGTACGTACCCTGCTGCTGGGGCGTCCTGGGGAGTGCCCGACCCGGTAGGAAAGAAGCAGTCGTTGCCTGATGAAGTGTTTTGGTAAATGAACAACATAGATAAGCAGGAGAACAGTCTGTTTTTTTGATGCTCATGGTGTAGCCTGGAAAGGCATCGCTTGCCCATAGAGGGAGCAAAGAGTAAGAAAAGTGACTTAAACCTGTGTCTCGGGGGCTGCGTTAGGACTCGGAACTGAATTATCACCTTCTCTGTCCTTTCTGTGCTGCATCCTGGGTGTCACCCGGGCTCTGCTGCGACTGAGGGTGCTGTGCTTCTTGGCGTGGGTTTGGGCTTGAAAACTCTAAATGAGAACAGATTTGGGGCGAGCAGGAGGGGACATTGCTCCAGTTTCTGCTCTTCAGATGGGGACTTGTGGCTGCCCGTGTGGGCTGAGGGACAGCCTCTGGCAGGGCTACGAATTTATGCTTCTTGTGCAAAGCGAACACGTGAATACAGAGCTATTTTAAACCTGCACACACATGCAGACTCACTGGAAAATACCTACAAAACTGTGTTCTGGTGCAGACAAGCACTGTGACACACGAGCACAGAGTTTCTTTAGTTCTCTGGGAGCTGGTGTCCACCCTGCACCCTGGGAGCAGCTTTCTGGAGGAGCACTGCAGCACTTGAACGAAATGTAATGATTTTTATTGTTAGCTGGCAAAGAGCAGCTTTGAATTCCCCAGTGTCTCGTGCCTCTGGTTCTCCCTGGGGGCTGAGGGAGGGCTGCACTCACCCCCCCGTCCTGGTGCTTTCGGTGCTACCGCGGCAGCACCCTACGCGGTGCCTTCCCCAACACCCAGTTCCCCTCGGCCAGAGCTCAGTGCTTTCTTTACTGGTGTCTTCTGCACCAGTTTAATGAATAAACAGGGCTTAGAAGTTAAGTCACATCGTGTTCCACAGAGCAAGGCTCAGCGAAGAGCCCAGTGCGTCACTTCGGACAATGCCAAGACTTTTTTTGTGTGGTGGCTTTTTTTTTTAATGTGTAATAGGAAGTGCTTTCTGCAGAGTGTGTAATTCATACCCTGCAAATGCTGGCTGCCTTTTTCCCTTCCTGAAATAAGGCTGAGCTGCATATTTGGTTCCTCTGTAATTCTCTTGAAAAATGTTTGCAAGAGAAAAGTCAACACAGCCTGGCTTCTCGCAAAGATGAAAAGATTCCCACTTTCAGGTGGCAAGACCTATTTTTGAGGCTGAGACCTGATTTTTTTTTTTCCAACTTAGTTTATTGTAATGTTTTCAGAGGTTGTGCTTTTGTAGTTTCTCTAGAAAAGAGGGGGGGAAAGATGACGGGTCTTGGGTGACAGGATACAGGGCACCTGAGCCACAGCAGCTGTGACAGGGGCTGTCTCTGGAGTTTAGGGTGGATGCTCACAGTTTGTTGGTCTTATTGCCTTGGTTAAGCCTGTGGCTGGCAGCTGGTTAGTCAAAAAAACCCAGTTTGAGCCCTTTTCCAGCAGGCAGGGACTGAGGGGTAGAGGGTATGTGTGCAGGAGCCCTTACAGAAGGATTTTCCCCCGTGGGGCCCGGCTGTGCAAAGTTTTCTAAACTTCTCTTTTAAGAACCTGCCACTGTAATGCTGTCCCATTTGAATGTCTTTCCAGTTGAGTTCCGATGCCCTGCTGGGAATTGGTGTTCATTTCTGGCGTGTGGCAATGTGAAATGTAGTGCCAGAGCTTTGCCTGGAGTTGTGAATGTCCAGCCTTGTCCTGTTCCAGCCCGATCTCAGTGGATTCACTGCATTTCTCCTTCCTGCGGGAAGAGCAGTGCGGGCTCCTGGGCTTCAGGACAAAGCGCCGAGTCTTCGTGCTTGTGCCCTGAAACCTTTCCCTTTGCTGGCAGGTTTGGAAGCTCTGGCCATGGATCAGAAAGGCTATCGACGGGGGAGTTTCCAGAGCAGCACCAGTGATGAAGACATGCTGGAAATAGCGGGAGCATCTCTGGACTTCTCCATGGCAGACGACGACCCTCCGCTCGACAGGGAGATGGGAGGTAATACCCGTGCAGCTCTTCCCTTACTCATTTTTGTAGCAGCTTTCGGTAGGATTTCATGGTGATATCTTCTGTGTGGGTCCTGCTGGCCTCTGCCTGGGACGGGTCTTGCGTTTCACGGCACCGAAGGGAATGGTTTGCAGGATTCTGTGCGTTGTGTCCGCAAACAGATTTGTGAGAACAGCCCAGTGCCTGCTGACGTGCTGCCTTTGGCTCCCAGCCTCGCTGTGTAACTGGGGCTGCTGGGAGCCGCCTCTTCTGTGCAAAGCAGAAAATCTCCTTCAAATAAATGGTGATGGCAAGAAGCATGTGAGTGATTTTGTGGTGGTGGGGAGGTGCTGCTCATCTGCCTCCAGCCACCGAGCTGCTGGGTCTCAGGCTGTGTGTGTCCTGTCAGAGGGGAAAGCTGCTCTCCGAGCCCTCTGTGTGGTTACTTTGCGTATCCGCTCCCATTGCTTTGCTTTTAGGGCTTCTGGATAGTTCTTTCTGGAGTTTTCCAAAAGAGCTGCTGTAGGGAAGAGCTGGCAGTGCCACAAGGGAGGTGTTGTGATGGGATGGGAAGGGATGTCCACACAGAGCAATTCCTGAGATGAGCAGAGACTCTCCCTTCCCCTTCCCTCCTTCTTTACCTATAATTTTAAAGGTTGCCCGTTGTGGAGAGACTCTCGAAATCAATCAGCCCCAGGGGGTTTGGTGCTGAGGTTGCAGAAAGCCTGAGGTGCTGGGCATCCCCTGCCACCACGTGTCTGTCCAGAGAGGGTCTGATGCTGCCTCCTCTGGCCTGGGCCTGGGTTGTGCCATCAGTGGGGGAGAGCAGTCTGCCTGGGTTTGCTGAGCTTTGGCACTAGACAAGATGATCTGCCTGGTTTTTGTTTTCTGTGAATTATTATAAGTTTAAAAGCAAAGATACTTTATTTGAACAGCAAGACCACAAGTGTCTGTGACTTCCCATAAACCTTCTCCTCTTCTTCCCCCACCCCTGTTTACTGTAGGGCTAAAATTAAAAAGGAATCCTTCTGGTTTTGCTTCTTGAGTCCACGGTTTGCCTCCAGGTAGCACAGATGAGGACAGACTTCCTCAAATGTCTCCTGTTGGTACCCAAAGGACCAGCCCTTCTGCTGCTGGAGACCCTGTGAGGAGCGTGTCCTTGGCCTGGTCCCTCCCACCGCTTCCAGGAGGAAGGATGGTGGTGTTTTTGTGGTGGTTGTGTTCACTCCGAGTGATAAGTGCTGGTTTGTGGTTTAAAAACCCTCTGTCTGTGCACAAAGGGATGTGCAAGGTTTGCATCCCAAGTGTGTTGTATCCTCAACTGGTGGCAGAAGTGACTTTTAGAACTGGGCAGCTCCAAGAGCCCACTTCAAATCTCCTTGCACGGAGCTTGAAATAATGACTTGTGACTGAATTTGCTTCTGAAGAGCTGTTAATTACTAGTAGGTGTAGAATTAATACACAGAAATAATCACGTTATGCATGTTAGTAGTGTAACTGGAAATCCACGTGCTCTCTCCTGGCGAGAGCCGTCGGGGTATCAGCTGTCTGAAGTTAAAGGTGTGCTCCTGTTTAGTATTTAGAGAGAAGGAGCTGAATTCTTTAACTTCTTGTAAGGAAATTGCTATTCTGTAGAGGTTAGAAGCAGCGGTGGGCGATGGAGCTGAGCTTTGCTGCTGGCCTGAAGCAGCACTGGGTTGTCTCCCTCCTGGTGTAGTAGGTCTTCCTGTCTTGGCTCAGGGTGTTTGGAGGCCTGTGGCTACTGCTATGAAAAAAGTGGGGGTCCTCCCTGCTGGCACGTGAGTGATGGTGGTGGCACTTTGGGGGCTGCCCTAAGTGGTGGCCGAGAGGAGCGGTTCCCCTGAGAGAGGCTCTCCTGAAAGAGGTTCTCCTCTAAAGCAGGATGCTTCAGTCCACGGGCAGAGTTGACACAGAAGTAAGTTGCAGGATGCGTCAGTCCACGGGCAGAGTTGACACAGAAGTAAAAGAGGAAATTTAAAAGGTTAAAGGCTTGTTTGCCAAAATACTGGTTTCAGTTCACTCTGCAAACATCCCCTACTGATTTCAGAAACTGTTTGCTGGCAAATGCTTGGGTGCCAGGCACATGGCCTGAAGATGTGGTGGCACAGGCCTGACTGGAGCTGGGGAGGTGGGGACCGAGGTTCTCCTGTGATGGAGCAGGACATCTCCTCTGTCCTTCGCTGGACATGCTCCAGCCCCTCTATGTCCCTCGGGCCTGACTGGAGCTGGGGAGGTGGGGACTGAGGTTCTCCTGTGATGGAGCTGGACATCTCCTCTGCCCTTCGCTGGACACGCTCCAGCCCCTCGATGTCCCTCCTGTCGTGAGGGGCCCAGAACTGGCCACAGCCCTTGAGGTTGGGCCTCACCAGTGCCTGGCACAGGGGGGCTATCACCGCCCCAGTCCTGCTGGCCACACTGTTCCTCACACAGACCAGGATGCTGTTGGCCACCTTGGCCACCTGGGCACACTGCTGGCTCGTGTTCAGCGGCTGTGACCAACCCCCTGGGTCCCACGCTCCCACACTCTTATCTTCTCTGCTTTGGACTTCAGCATTTGGTCAATAAAAGGGAACAGATAAGACTTTCCTTGACTTTTTTTTCCGGGCTGTTAAGTTGTGCTTGGGAATGAAACTTGGCTTTTGAATAAAATCCTCTGATTTGTAGTCTTGGTGCTGTGGTAATGGTGTTACACCAGGCAGCCAGGGAACCCGAGCTGGGCTTCCTCAAAATCCTTGTTGAAGCCCAGGTTTTATTCTGGGCAGAGAGCTGATGGGGTGGCACCGTGGTCTTTAAGGACAGAGTCCTGCTTCCCAGCAGTTGCTTCATCTCACTGCCATCACCTCCTCTCTGTGCTGTCGCGAAGGTGCCCAGAACAGCACGTGATGGTCAAGGGGCATTTCTGCAGCAGTAAATCTTTTCTGCTTCTTAGTTTAAGGATTTTTTTTTAATTCTGGGCAGAGAGCTGATGGGGTGGCACCGTGGTCTTTAAGGACAGAGTCCTGCTTCCCAGCAGTTGCTTCATCTCACTGCCATCACCTCCTCTCTGTGCTGTCGCGAAGGTGCCCAGAACAGCACGTGATGGTCAAGGGGCATTTCTGCAGCAGTAAATCTTTTCTGCTTCTTAGTTTAAGGATTTTTTTTTAAGAAGCTATTTCCTTGTTGACTGCTCTCAAGTGTTGAGCAATGACTTGCAGACGTTATCCACAGACCCTTGAGTTGTCCGGTCAGACATGCTGACATGGAGCACCACACTGATTGCATTTGTCTCCCCCGTGCTCTGGGGGTGAGTGTCTTCTGCTCACTGGTGGCCCAGCTGTGGTCCTCTAAAGCCAGCCCGGGACATGCTGGTTGAGAACTGCAATAGCACCGAGTAACACCCCAAAAGCGCAGTGGGGTCTGGTTTCATTGGGATTTCTGGTTCCATCCACTCGCCCTCTCCTTACCTGAGCTCTCCACACCGGGGAGAGCTGTAATATAGGGGGTGGCCAGCTGGTCCCGGGAAGGATTAATTACCTCATTTGCTGGCCAGGGGATTTCACCCAGCTGCTGCAGGCTGGCCTGATGCACCCACCCAACAGAAGTGCTGAAGGGCCACCCTCTGGGATGGCTCCCCGAGCTGGAGACATCTCCCCAGGCTTTGTTCTTCACCCGCCTTCCTCCTTGACCTCCAGACGGAGCCCCGGGGGTGTCGGAGCCGCCCGTAGCGTATCGCCTGAGCCCAGAGCCAGCGTTTGCCGGGTGTCGTGTTTCAGACAGACAGACAATGCCTAAATGACAAGCTATCGCTGGCTAATTGGAGCCAGGAGAACTTAATCACCAGCCCCTTTGAGCCCTTGTGTACGTTGGATGGGGGAGATAAAGAGCGCTCCCGGGGAGGGTGGGGGCCGGCTCCGAGAGGGGACAAAGGGACAGTTCAGTCCCCGCCGCCTCCCGGGAGGACAGCGAGGGGAGGGCATCGCTCCCGGCGGGGACATGGCCGCAAGGTGGGGGAAAAGGGGGTGTTTCTTTTCGGTACATCGGGGTCTGACCCGCCGGTGTGAGGACAGGCCCCGGGGAAATGCCTGTTTTCCTGCGGGGATCCTTGACTCGGTCCCGAGCAGGGGCTGTCCCAGTCCCTTGCACTGGGAGAACTGGGTGCTCGTCTCGGGGGTGTCGTGTCCCCTCCCCCACCTGGGGCAGACCTCGGGCGAGGGGGCCGAGTGCCGGGTTTGCCCGGTCTTTGGGGCTGGAGCCGGGGGGTGCCGGGGGGCGGAGGGCACGGCGTGAGCTCCCGGGGGCCGGCAGAGCCCGGGGCCGCTCTCCGGCTCTCTCGGGCCCGGGGAGAATATTCCGCCGGGTAAAGCATCCCGGGGGGGCTCCGCTAGCGGCGGCGGGGCGTCTCGGCCCCCTCTCCCCCCGGTGCAGCCTCGCTTCTCGCCCCCCTTTCCCCCCGGTGCAGCCTCGCCCCCCTCCCCGGTGCAGCCTCGCTTCTCGTCCCCGTCTTCCCCCGGTGCATCCTCGTCCCCCTCCCCGGTGCAGCCGCGCTCCTCGCCCCCCTCTCCTCGATGCATCCTCGCCTCGCTCTCCCCCCGGTGCACCCTCGCTCCCCTCCCTCCGCCGAGCCCGACGCCTGTCCCGGTGCGGCGGGAGCTGTGCCGCTGCCGGCTCGGGGTGCGAGGGCCGGCTCACGTGACGGTGCCGGTGACGCCGGGCGTGCGGGGAGGGCCCGGGGCGCTGCCGGCCCGGCTCCCGCCAGGTGCGGAGGAAGAGGATGCAGCGAGTGCCGCCGTGAGCCGGAGGAGCGGCCGCACCGCCATGGGCCGGACGGGCTCCCCGGGGGGGGCCGCAGCGGCAGAGGCAGGGTGAGCAGGGAGGAAGAGGAGGAGGAGGAAGAGGGGCCGGAGCGTGGCCGGGGGGCTGCGGGGCAGCAAACTGTGCGGGGCGGCTTCCAAACCGCTCCTGCGCTGGGACGGGGGGGTCGGGGGGGCCGGGAGGAGATGGGGGGCCCGGGAGCAGCCGGGTGGGCTGCGGGATGGCTGCTGCGGGATTTCTGCTGTGTAATGGCTGGCTGCTCGCTCCCGGCTCCCTTCTGGCTGCAAAACCCTGCCTTTTTTAACACGTTGGCCCGGGCGAGGGGAGCGGTGGCACAGACCCCCCCGGGGGGCAGGGCTGTCACCTTGCCGTGCTGGCAGGACAATTCGGGGAGCCCGGGGTGGCTGTGCTGCAGTGACAGCACCTGCAACTTCAACAGGCACTGCCTTTGCTGTTTTTTAAGCCAGGCAGACTCTCTGAAGTGGAACATTAACCCATTTTGGGGAGAAGAGGTGATCAAAACGCTGACAAATCTGTGTTTAAAAAATGAGTTGTGCTTCTCTCACCATTCTGGGGTTTGGCCGCTGGCTCCAGGCGTTAAATGCTGCTTCTGGGGGTTAGGAGCTGCCCCGACCCTACCATCAGCTTCTGACCAGGCATCACTGAGCTCATTTTCTTCCTTTATTCCTCTCTGGGTATCCCAGCATCCTTGATTTGCGACCAGCTGAGGCAAGAAATATGATCTTGATAAATATTTATGCCTGTCAGCCATTTTACAGTTCGGTGTTACTCCTGGGGAAAAATATAAGGACATTTTCTGGGTATCTTCTGTGGGATAGAACTGCTTACCTGGCTGGGAAATGGCCATGGCTGGGACCTGGGGGTTCTGACTCTGCACCCAGGGAGGGCAGGCTGGGCTGGATGGGGCCAGAATGGGGAGAGGAGCGGGGTCCAGGCTGGTCCCCAGTGTGTGGGTCACACCACACTGTCCCTTCGGCCCCGCTGTGAGAGCCCACGAGCAGCTGCTGGCTGTGGTACGGATGGGATCCATGGGGCTGGGACCTGTGGGACTCTGGGGGAGCGATGTCCTACAGCCCGTGTTGGGGCAGTGGTGGGTGCTGAGTTTGTCCCCCTGGGGTCTTGTTCCTGTGGCAGCTCTGAGCTGGGGGAGCTGAAAGTCACTGCTCCGGGCGGTTGTTCCAGAAGAGCCAGCAGGGAACGACCCCCGTCTCTTCTTCTTCCCTGGAGGGGTTCAAGGCCGGGTTGGACGGGGCTTTGAGCAACCTGGTCTGGTGGGAGGTGTCCCTGGAGATGGGAATCGGACCCAGGTGAGCGAGCTGGAGGACATCTGGTTGCCACAGAGCGTTGGGCATTGGGATGTTGGGTGGCCTGGGAGGCAGTGGCCTCCTCACAGCCCAGTGCCACCATCGAGGTGACACGCTGGCTCATACCTTTCTTGCCTCCCTGGTTGAGTTGTTCTGCTGTGGTCCTGGTCTCTATGTCCATGGCCTTTGCTGTGAGGTTCTGCAGCTCTGAACCGTAGGTGGGACTTGTCTGGGCTGTGGTTGAGTGGGACAATACCCTGTCTTGTCCCTGTGTCACACAGCTCCAGAGGGGGCTGGTTGCCCTGAGGGGCTGGGGGGAAGCCCTCCCCAGATGGCTTTACACGGGGGGATCTGAGCCCTCTGCATGTTGAACCTGGTTGTTGGTTTGGGGATGATTTATTCAAGGAGGTTTTAGTCCATCAGATTTGTAGAACAACGTTTGGGATCCCCAGAGGGAGGTTTGACTGGGGAGGTCTCTGAAGGCACCGATGCCAGTTTGGATTTCCAAGCTCTTGGCTTTGTAAGTGACAAACGTTGTTAAAACCAGAGAAATTCCTCTTGGCTCTCAGCAAACATGCCCCATTTTCTCTCCCGTGCGAGGCGGGCTCGCTCTGTGCACTCACCACTCGGAAGATCTCTGGAGAACTTCACTTAACCTTTTTTTTTTTGTCCCGAATGAAGCAGGGAGCCTTTAAGTGGGTTATTTGGTGGTACTTGTCACTTGTGCTACGTGACTCATCTTGTTTTCTGGCGGCTTTTCCTCTGTGAAGAGGCTGCTGTGCCAGTCTGGGGGGTGGCGTGGGAAGACATCGGGGGACTTTATTCCCCTCTCTTGCCTTCAGACGGTGGGGTAGAGAGCGATTGTTTGAATCCTTCTCATCCAAAGACATCTTTGCCCTGGTGTATCCACAACCTGAATAAGCTAAATGAAATATTAAACATTATCCTTCCGGATGGGAGTTTTAATACTCCTCTTTCCCACCACCTTTCAGTTTTGATTGGATTTTGGGTTTTGCATGTTGGTTTTTTTTTTTTTTTCCTTGTGGGTGACTGTAGACAGTCAGTGTCTGACAGAACCCTGCTTAGAGCTGCTCTCCTGCCCGGGTCTGAAACTGCAGCCTCTCGGGTGGCACCAGAGAGGGGTAAAGCCTGGGAGAGCAGCATGAACGGCTTCCTTGGGGAGCTCCAGAGCCCGTGTCCAGGGTGGAAACTGGTGTCACCTCAATTTTCTGGGGATGCTTTTGTGTAATGGATAATGGACTGTGGGGCACCCTTCACCTCCGCTGAAATTTAACAGGATATTTCTTGGAGTAACCCATGGAGTTTTTGCCCTTCCAGTGTTTGGTGCCTTTAGAAAAATATCTGGAGTAATTTCTGAGGGATTCTGGTGGTGTTGGGTCAGAGCAGGGGCCTCGGTGCTTGCACAAGCAAAGGAATGAAGCCTGGGCTGAATTGCACAGAAAAACTCGTTCCATGACAGTTACTGTCAACGAAGCTGCTTGATTTCCTGGGATAAAGTTTAAAAGACCTTTGTTTTGTTTTTGCCTGGGTGAGTTTCAACACCTTCCTCAAGCTACTTGCAAGAGACTTTCAGAAACCCATTTTTAAAGGAGCAAGTGTTACATTAATGGGGATTTTAAAGGTTCTTTTCAGATCAGAGATGCTCAATGTTTTGTTGCAGGAGCCAAGGAAAGCCGGAATAGATTCATGGTGGTTTTCCAGGTGGAATTTTCCCAGGGCAGGTGAAATCTGTGTGGATCCAAGGCTTCTGCCCTGAGTGCCCCAAGGGCAGGTTCTGCTCTGCCGCCTCCTGCTCAGCAGGGGACAAATGCCACCTTGGCTGGGAATGGCCATAAACTGAGCACCTGGGGACTAAACTGAGCACCTGGAGACGTGGAGGCAACATTAATCCATTTTCGGCACTGAGGTCCAGGACTAGGTGGTTGGATGATCTTTCAAGGTTCCTTCCAACCTCAGTATTTCACCGACTCTGTGATTCATGGATTTATTTTCTCAGCAGAGGAATGGGAAGCTGCTCCAGAGGCTTTTCTCGGGAGCACGGCTTGTACCGTGCAGAGCCCTGGTGGGTTGTCTTCAGACAGACCTGGCCAGCCCTCGTCACGCTCTAGATTAATAGTCTTCTGTAGGCCCTTCCCCACAGCCTTGTTCTCTGCTCCAAACCGTGAAGAGATTGTCTTGTGACCAAATTTCTGGGAACATACATCCTCACTAAGTGTTGTTTTCCATGGGCTGGAGGTTAGGCAGAAGGGTGAGTGGTTTGGCTGAGGTTGTTTCACCTGAAGGGTGGCTGTGAGTACCACCACCTGCTTTTCAGGTCCTCCTGGCCCTCCACAACGATGGGGGTTGGATGTTCTCCTGTGTCCAATCTCCCATGCACAGCCCTCCTGCCTTCACTGCATCCACCCTGGACTCCCTTCAGCTCTGCCCGGGGTCTCAAATATTCCCCTTCTCCTCTCCCTCTGCTCTCCTCAAATGGCAAAAGTTCTAGATTTAGGGAAAAGTTAACATCTGGAAGCTGCTGTTGATTTACTTTGCTGGTTCTTGAACAGTCATTTCCAGGAATGATGCTGTCTCTACGTGAACTGCTGGAGCTGGGGAGGGACATACCCCTGGTCACCGCAGGAGCCTTGCTTGGCTTGTTTCACTGGAGGAACAGCTCATTAGCTCTTTGCTTCCACTGAAATCTGTGGTTTTCCCACTAAATTGCTGTTTTGGTGAATGTTTTGGTGTGTTGTTTTTTTTTTTTTTCCTGTAAAAGGGCAAATCTAAGAAATACCCCATTTCTCCCCCCAGGATTTTCCTCATATAACGGGGGAGGGATGAACGGCACCAGCACGATGATGGATTTCCTGGAGGAACCTCTTCCTGGTGTGGGCACCTACGAAGATTTTAACACCATAGATTGGGTGCGAGAGAAATCCAGGGACCGGGACAGGCACAGAGAGGTAAAATATCCTACTGCTTCTTGCTGGCACTGAAGGCAGAGTAATTAACTTGCTGGAGCTAATCCCAGTCTGATGGCCGGACTGGGAAGGAGACGTGTGCTGGAGATACACCTGGGATGGAGGGATTGCCCTTGGGATGGGAACTGGGAGCCTCCCCGCAGGATCATTACTTTGAGGGAAAGGAAGGTTAAATTGATCGTGCTGCAGTTTATCAATTGCCGCTTCTCTTCTGAAGGCTTTTACTCGTTTAAAAAGCTTTCGTGGATTTCTGACCCACATCTTAAATGCCTTAATGGCGTGTTTTCTTGTGCCCTGTTAAACTCGCTCCCCGCACTGCTGCTCCTGGAAGCTGTTTTTCTGCTCACACAATTGCACTTGTGAATGATGCTCCTTCTGTTGGAGTTGCTCTGTGCTGGGCGTTGGAGAAAACTAAGTGCAGTTCTTCCACGATTCATTCCCGGGACGTCACCGCTCTCTGCTATTAAATAAATCTGCTTAGAAAGCAGGGGATGCTTTAAATAAAGTCCCAATGTCCCCAGCATGCTCCTGGTTCATGAGAAGCCCTTGCTGGTGAATTCTTGTGGGGTGATGACCGAATTCAACTTGTCTGTTTGCTTGCCAAAATAAATCTTTAATTGTTTTTTTTTTTTCTGAGCCTCACAAAACAACTTGTGTCTTCACAGTAGTGCACAAACTGACCATGGTCCCTGCTCAGTGTGTGAGCACCTACAATAAATACAATATAGTGCCTAAACCTGAGCACGTACAGACCCAGTTCAGGGGCTCCATCCCCCCAGTACCTCTTGCCCCAAACCTGTCCCCCTCTATAAATGAGGAGTACAGACCCGAGGGCTGCTCACACGTATGCCCCAGGCAGATGTGTGTATGTAAAGGTGATGCCCCTTGGCATGGAATGGGACCAGCTATTCCCTGTCTGTGGAGGCACTGGTATGGAAATACTGCTGCTGGCTTTACCGAAAGAAGCTGAAATGGGGTCAGGACAGAAGTTCCTGCTGGGCAGAGAGGTGTAGGCTTGGTCCAGTGAGAAGAAATATAAAGGAAATAGTTTAGGCCCCATCCCCTGCCTTGGTTCAGCAGCAGTTCCCCTCCTGGGCAGCACGGCATCTGAAAGGCAAAAATCCAGAGGAAAAACCACCCAAGGCTTGTTCAGGCAGAAAGGATTCTGACTGTATTTATCCCTCATTTAGCGAGCGTTAGTTGTTTGCATCAATGTGCCTTTTTATCAGGGAATAATGGTGGTGTCCTGGAATGCATCCCCGGGTGGAGGCAGTGGGGGCACACAGTAGCTCTTCTGTCACACTTTTGTCCCCCTGTCCAGAGCAGTGACACTGCCAGGCATCACCCTCAGATGGGACCAGGGCCCCCGAGGAGCTCACCCTCCTGGGGCATCTTGGTCCCACTTCCCAGTGCCACCAGCACCATTCCAGCCTGACCGTTCCTCCGTGTTGGTGTTAAACTGGTGACCCCCCTCCCGTCTCCTCTGCCCGGAGCAGTGTCAGGGTGGTGTGGCAGACGTTGGGCAGCAGCTGGGGACTCTGGAGGGTTGGTGACAGCTCTGGTGTGACTTGCTGTCACCGACAAGTAATGGCAGCAAAAGATTGAGGGATGAGTTCTGTCTCGGTTTTGTGCAGAAGACACCGAGGAGGAGAGTGTTAGTTGAATACTTTCTGTTTTGCTGGGACAGATGGCAGTCTCCTCGACCCGCTCTTGTCCATCTCCTGCCCAGAGCTGCATTTCTGTGCCAGCTGCAGGAGCAGCCACTCCTGATACCATTTCCCTCACCCCTCATGCAGAATGTGTCCCGAGGGCTGTTGTTCCCAGTCTCAGGGGCTCATCTTCCACTAAGCACCTCACCGGGTAGTTTTTAGAACGTTTACACCGAAGCAGATCAGTGTCTGTAACAGATCCTTGTTTCTTTTTGAAAAACCCTTTTCCAGATCACCAGTAGAAGTAAAGAGTCCACCTGGGCACTGATCCACAGCGTGAGCGATGCCTTCTCGGGCTGGTTGTTGATGCTCCTCATCGGGTTGTTGGCAGGTAAGAGCAAAAACCATCTAAAGCTCCGTCCTGGTTCCGCTCTGCAGCGTCGGGATCGGTTCCTCCCACGACCCCAGGCAGGGCCCTGGAGAGGGAGACTTTGTCCCTGGAGCAAGGGCTGTGTGAGGGGCTGCACCGGTGTTCGTGGCTCTGCTGCTCCTTTGAAATTCATGGAGAATTAATTTTTTATGTGCTTTGAGGCCATATTTGTACAGACAGCCAGAGACAAAGCTGAGACTGAGCACTGGCCTGGCCGCTGCTCTGGGTCTGCTGCTGCAGGGCTCTGAGATAAAGAAAATTCAGCAGAAGAGCTGATGGGAGTGTGGGTCAGGGGAGAGTCTTGTGCGTCTTCGCTGAACATTCTTTGTTGACAAAGGAGAGGTTAATCCCAAGGACTGCTGGAAAGATGGCCCTTTTTCTTTTTCCTTACTGTGCTTGGGTACAAAGGGTGGGAGGTGTTTCCTGGGCAGCCAGGCTTCTTGCCGAGGTTGACTGAGACCTTTTGGATGATTTCAGAAGGAAACTTTGGACTCGGGGCCGCAGAAGAGCATGGGCTGGGTAGAGCTCTTCCCAGTGGAGAGCAGCTGAGCGTTCATCACGAGGGATGAAATGAAGTCTCCTGTTAATATTTACAGAGGAGGCTGTGAGCCGGTTTCTCATTAACTGGCAGATTTGCTAAATGTTTATTGCTGCCTCTGGAGGTTGTGCTGGCACTTGGTCCTGCAGATCAGAGGTCTCTGCTCCTGGCCTCTGTTGATGTGGTTTTTTCGCTGGGAGCGGAGCTGATGGCAGCATTTATCTGTGGGGATTGTAGGAGTTGTTTTTAGCAGAAAACTAAAGAATTGCTTGAAGATTCCTCTTCTAAAAGCAGAATTACTCTCTGTGCTGGCTCTCTGCTGGCTGGCTTTCATGGCCACAGTTGTAACTTTACCCTCCTTTTTAAATTTTTTATTTCATATTGGGGTTGGAAATATTTCCTCCATGTTCAGAGTTATTCCTGTCACGGTATTAGTGTCCTTAGTGTAGCTCCTGGGTGCCAGCTCTCGCGCTGCAGAGTGGTGACATGTTTTGTCTGCATCCTGCAGGAACACAGCACGTCCCTCTCTGCCTCCCAGCCTGCTTGCTCCGCTACGTTTAATAGGTGCTTGTCCAGTATAATTGAGAAAAAATAATTTCTAGTCACATAGGGCGAGTTTGAACACAGTTTGTGATGCTCAACCTTTGAAATACCATCAGGCATGTTTTGTTTCCTGACCTGCTCTTTTCAAGATAGAGATATATATATATATATACACTTAAGCAAATCTTTCCATTTAACTCTCTGTGGAATAAAAGTGAAATGTAGGCAAAATTATCAGTCCTGCTCTATTTGTTGGTAGGTGAGGCATGAGTCAGTAGGGCAGACTGTAACCTTCAGGTATTTGAGTCAAGGCGATTATTTACCTGTGGGTTTTTCCCCCTTCAACCCAGGTTCCTTAGCGGGGCTGATTGATATCTCTGCCCACTGGATGACGGACCTGAAGGAGGGTGTGTGTTTAGCAGGCTTCTGGTTCAACCATGAGCACTGCTGCTGGAAATCCAACACCACTTTCACCGACAGAGACAAGTGTCCCGAGTGGAAGAGCTGGTCCCAGCTGATCCTGGGCCATGGAGAGGTGACGTTGGTTTTGCTGCTGAAATATCCCATTTCCGAGACCGTACTGTCCCTTGGTAGCCATCTGGGTTTATCTACCAGATCTGTGAGCTCTGGGGGGGTTGGTGGTTTAACGTTCATTGTTGGGGTCTTCTAAGGGTATCCCCATAACCCAGCAAATTAAACTTGCCCTTGAAACCTCAGATTCAGTGTAGTTTTCCCCATTTTTGGCCGATAGCTGTGTGTGTGATCCGCTGCTGTTCTGTGTGCTGGCCTCAGTGTGCAGCTTTGGTTGATCTCAGTAGAAATCATCTAATTTGGGTAACTTTTTCTTTGTTTCAGGGGGCTTTTGCATATATTCTCAACTACTTCATGTACGTTATCTGGGCCTTGCTGTTCTCCCTGCTTGCTGTGCTGCTCGTGAAGGGCTTTGCTCCTTATGCCTGTGGCTCAGGGATCCCAGAGGTGAGTGAGGATGGAAGTGGGTTGGGATTTTCTGAGGTGGGGTAGGGACCCACCATCCAAGGATCACGTTTGCCTGCTATGGAGTTATAATTTCTTGCACTTCAGATGGTGGTTTAGTGTATGCTTTTTTCCAGACTGTTACTGAAAGATGTCTGGTACTTAAGCCTCAATGCAATCCCATTAAAAAAGTGGAATATTTTGGCATTTACTGCCGGGGGTACAAACAAAAGCACCCCGTTGGTGTAAGACAGGCTCCATGAGACTCGGACTTCTCTTCAGCCAGGAGAGGAGTCCCGAAGGAAGGACTCAATGGCTGTTTCTGCCTTTGCATGGAGAGATATATTGGCATCTCTGTGCTACTTTTGATACCTGGGAGGGAGCCTGAGAGCCGTAGGGGAGTGTTGAGGGCAGGATTGGGAGCGCCTGGTAAAAGAGGAGCTCTGCCCAGGGCTTGACTGAAAGCCTGTAGAGCTTTGTGTGCTTGACTTCCAGATCAAAACTATCTTAAGTGGTTTCATCATTAGAGGCTACCTGGGCAAGTGGACGCTGGTCATCAAAACCATCACCTTAGTGCTGGCCGTGTCCTCTGGGCTGAGCCTGGGCAAAGAGGGGCCCCTGGTGCACGTCGCCTGCTGCTGCGGCAACATCTTGTGTCATCTCTTCACCAAGTACAGGAAGAACGAAGCCAAGCGCAGGGAGGTACGGAGAGACCTGGGGGACGTGGGGAGAGCTGTGGGTCTGGCTCTCTGTGCTGGGTGGAGGTTGTTCTGCTTTGGCGTGTTCTCGGTGTTCAGCCTGGTTGGAGCATCTCGGTTGGGAAGTGACACCACAGTGTGTCCCCAGCAAAGGATGTCATCTTGTTTGTGATGAGGACTAACCCAATTTTGCGATGCTTTTGTTTGTCACACAACTCCACAAACGGTATTGGGGCTGTCTGAGGGACCTGGACTGGGCCGTAGGAGTAGAATGAAGGGCTTTGGTTTTGGGGCCACAGCGATGGAGGTGGTGTAAGAACCAAGCCAATGTCCAGCATGAATCACAGAATGGTTAGAGTTGGAAGGACCTTAAAGCCCCCCCAGTGGCACCCCCTGCCCTGGGCAGGGACACCTCCCACCAGCCCAGGTTGCTCCAAGCCCCCTCCAACCTGCCCTTGAACCCCTCCTGGTATAGGGCAGCCACAGCTTCTCTTGGCAACCTGGGCCAGGCTCTCACCACCCAGGAGTGTTTCCTCACAGTGCTGCCAGGCTTTTCTCTGGACAAGTCCCTGGAGAAGGGTAATGGGAGATGTGTGGTGTCACAGTGGCCACCTTACCTTCTGCTAAACCAAATCCCACAGAATCCACCCCGAGGGCTGGCAGGGCTTGGGTGGCCCCACAGCACCTCCAGTGACACCGTTCTGAGAAACCGTGTGACTGGAGACAGGCAAAGCTGGGACAAGTCAGTGTGTTCTGGGAGGTGAAATTACTGCTGTTCTGTATTTATTCCACCTTTATCTGAGGTGAAAGCACAGCGTGAAATCAGCTGAAACAGGAAAAGGTTATTGCCAGTGATGCTACTTCTGCTAATTTGGGGAAGAGACTGCTTAATTGTGAACCCCAATGTCCTTGTGGCTCCCTGCAAGGAGGGAATTGGCTCACTCCACCTTTTCCCTGCTGGCAGACCCTGGTTTACTGTGTGCTCACTGGAGAGAAAAATTGTACAAATTTAAGTAAAAACAAAGAAAAATAGGGGGAAGGTTGGGAAGGGGGGAATGGAAATGTCTGACTGTCCTTGGTTTCTCTCATAGGTCCTATCGGCAGCTGCGGCTGCTGGTGTGTCTGTAGCTTTCGGCGCACCCATCGGAGGAGTGCTCTTTAGCCTGGAAGAGGTAACATCAGCATTTTCTGTTAGCCCTTGGCGAGCTGTTTTATTGCAAGAACTGACCCTGCTGGTTTAAAAATGCAGCCCCGCTCCTAACTGCTTGGGTGTGGAAAGGAGACCCACTTGAATACTCATTGGTGGTGTATTTGCAAGGCCGAGCAACCTAAAAGCTTATTGGGGTTTCAGGTAATTCTTCCAAATACCGGGGAATTTATTTTTGGATGATGTCTGTCCCCAGCTTTGCAATAAAACCCCTTGGTTTCTCCCGGTCTGTCCGTGCTCAGCAAACACTGCTCACAGCCACCGCCTCCGTCACGGCCACTCTCCTGCCACCTCTGTCCCGGGGGGCCTGGGATCAAACTTCCCTGGCTTATCAAACCCCTTTTCCTTCCCAAGGAACTTGGAATCCTTGTTCTTTTGGTCCAGACACGCGATGGGTCACTGCTTGCTTCGGGGCTCAGCTCAGAGGAAGCCGGGGTGGTTTCACCCCACTGAGCAGTGCTCCTGGTGGCCACTGAGGCAGCCACTGCTCTCCGGGGCTTCTGGGCTGAGCAGAGCACACGAGGCAAATAGTTTTCTCCAAGTTCAGCTCATAGCTGATTTGTGATGGCTCTTATTGCCTGAGTCAGTCACCTCTCTGTGAGGGATCGTGGAGGGCACTCACTGCGCTGGAGGGACGAGGGCCAGGACCCATCTGTCCCTGCTGTCCCATCCCATGGATCGGGAGCTCAAACAGAGCCCGGGGCGCTTGGCTGGAGAGGAGGGTGTGAGCCAGCACACATCATCTCCCTCCCTGCTCTTCACGCGCTGGTGGTTTTGTGACTGGGCAGCGATGGGTGTAGCGACACGCGTTAAAGTGGCCGAATCTGCTTTGTGTTTCCTTTTTTAGGTCAGTTACTACTTTCCTCTCAAGACCCTGTGGCGCTCCTTCTTCGCTGCCCTGGTGGCTGCCTTCACCCTGCGCTCCATCAACCCTTTCGGCAACAGCCGCCTGGTTCTCTTCTACGTGGAGTTCCACATGCCGTGGCACCTCCTGGAGCTCGTGCCCTTCATCCTCTTGGGAATATTTGGTGGGCTTTGGGGAGCTTTCTTCATTCGCAGCAACATCGCCTGGTGCAGGCGACGCAAGACGACCAAGCTGGGGAAGTACCCCGTGCTGGAGGTGTTCGTGGTGACCGCCATCACGGCCGTCCTGGCCTTCCCCAACGAGTACACCAGAATGAGCACCAGCGAGCTCATTTCCGAGCTCTTCAACGACTGTGGCATTTTGGACTCTTCCAAGCTCTGCGAGTACGTCAATGACTTCAACAGCACCAAAGGGGACGACCTGCCAGACCGAGCCGCTGGCCCAGGAGTCTACACCGCCATGTGGCAGCTGGCTTTGGCCCTCATAATGAAAGTCTTCATCACCATCTTCACCTTCGGCATGAAGGTGAGAATTGCCCATAAAGGAGTTCACGTTCCTGTCATCCTCTGCAGGAACCCCAGGTGTTAGGGTTTTATTTGCTCAATAAACAGACTTGTTTTCCTCCCCAAGCTCTGTTAGGAAGGGGGCAAGGTGACAGACTGCCATTATTTGTTCTTCTGCTTTCAGCCTGAGCGTGGGTGCCAGATGCAGCCACTGAAGCTGGTGTCTTAGGGCTTCGTGTCCTCTTTTCCAAACACAGAATGCTTCTAAATTGTCCTGTCTTAAGCCTTTTTGATATATATGCAATAGATCGTAGAATCACAGAATGGTTTGGGTTGGAAGGGACCTTAAACACCATCAAGTTCCAACCCCCTGCCCTGGGCAGGGACACCTCCCACCAGACCGGGTCATCGCTGTTCCATGGTCGGAGGGTTGTGAGCTCCTTTGGTGGCACCTCCTGAGCTATGGATGTCCTGCCTGGGGCTGGGCTCTCCTGCGGTGAGGTTCAGCAGGTAGAACTCGGCATCTCCCACTGCCCCCCAGACCCTCCAGTGGTCTGTCTGGAAAGGTGACCCCACCACAGAGGTTTGGATGTTATGGTTGCTGGGAGGTGGTTGCTGAGGTTCAAGGGCAATCATCAAGTCTGTGAGAAAGACTGTGAGAAAGCTGCCTGAGAGATGTGTGCAGGAGAGTGGGGAGATTCTCTGACAAGGAACAGGAGCTTTGGGAGTCCTGGAAGAGCAGAGACCTGCCGGCAGTAGCTCTGTGGGGTGGCACTTGTGCCACATGTGTCAGTTCCTGCACTCTCATGGTGGTGTTTGACTTTCTGCCAGGGAAGCAGGACGGCTCCACTCCTGGAACGTGAGGGCAGCAGAGGGAAGGTCCCCTGCCCACAGCTTCACGTGGGTGGGAGGTTGGGCAGCCCCGGGGGAGCGATAGCTGTATGGGCAGGTGGAGCTCTGCTTCATTCTCCTGGGAAATAAAGCTTTTGGAAAAAAGCTCGTTCTGTTCCACACCAGCTTCTTGTTCCCTCTCGGAGAGGAGGGGAGGTGAGCTCCTGCAGGGACAGTGGAGCAGGAGGGGCAGAGGTGACAAACGAAGGCAGCTTTGCCAGGTTTAACTTCAGCGTAACCTCTAACTCCGTCCCGTTCCCAGCTTCCAGCGCTGCTCTTGGAAGTGCCTGAGAAAGGTCATGTTTCCTGACGTGTGTTTTCCAGGTGCCCTCGGGTCTGTTCATCCCCAGCATGGCGGTGGGCGCCATCGCGGGCCGCCTGCTCGGCGTGGCTGTGGAGCAACTGGCCTTTTACCACCACGACTGGGCCATCTTCAGCGGCTGGTGCAGCCCGGGAGCCGACTGCATCACCCCCGGCCTCTACGCCATGGTGGGGGCCGCGGCCTGTCTGGGTAAGCTGGGGACGTGGGCTTTGGAGCCCAGGCTGGGCATTTTGGTCCTGGTTGCCCGTGTAAAGATGTGTGAGATGCTGCCGCTGTTCTCACAGTCCACAGAGACCAGCCTCACCTCAGGAGTAGGAAACTCTGCAGTAAAACATGAATGTCTCTCATCCTGTTTGCATCCCAGCCCAGCCCCTTGCTGGCAGGTTTTGGTGGGGAGGCTGGAGCCGATGGGGCTGGCCAGGGACTTCAGATTTGCCTCTGGGGGGTTAATTCACTTCGCTTCCTCTTCTGGCCCGAGATCTTACGGTGCAGCTCTTCTTTCAAGTGCTCTGGGTTTTGGTAACGCTTTTTTCCGCTCGGCTGGATTTAAAAAATAGAGTGCACGTGACTGAACTGCATTTTTACTGCAATTCCCAGCCCTCTCCTCCACGGAATAGTACCTTTAACTCTTAAGAGATGACTATATCAGGGGAAACTCTCATTTCAGGAACAATAAGAACATGCTACCAAACCCCATCTTTGGGCTTTTTAAAGGGGATAAACCTTCTTGGTTGCGTGTAGTTGATGAAAAATAAATACAATTCCACTTCATTAACTGTTCTGTTTGCCACTGGGCAGTGCTAAGGGGTACGTGCCCCTTTAGGAGGTGGTTATTGGAACAAAACACCTCTAAAATGTTTGGGAGTAGCTTTGGGACTTGAATCTCAAAAGAATAAGTAAAATATGCCGAGGCAAAATGCTGTTACATAAAAATGATGCCCATATTTAAGAGGAGCTCATGATAACAATATTGAAGAAGGCTCGCTCCTGAAACGCCTCAACTCTCTTAGTGCTGAAAACCTCCAAAAGCATAAGGAGCAGCAGGCAAAGTGTCTGGCTGGAAGGTGGCAAACGTGGGAAGTGCTGAGCCCTTGCTGTCAGAGGAGGTGGTGCTCGTGGCCAGAGGATGTCAGGGTGACACTTGCCCTTTCTGTATGGCCCGTCAGAGGTCACGTTTCATGAATCCACCTATGGAGGTGTGTACAGGGCCCTTCTGTGGCATGGCCGGGCTGTTTGGGAGCTGGGTAACATGAGAGACAGTTGGTCTTTTAGGGTCACCTCAGCGTTCAGTGGAAGACCCTCAAAACCTCATAGCAAACCCTTGTAAGCCCATGGCACCGTGTTCTGGAAGGGACGGGTGGTTTCAGTACCATGTTCTGCTCGTGGTGGCTTCCACTGCGATGCTGGATGTGATGGAGGAGTCCCACAGCACAACCCCTTGCTGATACCAGACCTTCTCTGGAAGTGTTGGAGGGGACAGCTGAGACAAAGCTCAGAACAGCTCTCCTGCCAGGAGACCCCCAACACTCCATGTTCACGTCCTCTGTGTTCTCTCTGCAGGTGGGGTGACCCGAATGACTGTGTCGCTGGTGGTCATCATGTTTGAGCTCACCGGTGGGCTGGAGTACATCGTTCCTCTGATGGCAGCAGCCATGACCAGCAAGTGGGTGGCCGACGCCATCGGGCGGGAGGGCATTTACGATGCCCATATTCGCCTCAATGGATACCCTTTCTTGGAAGCCAAGGAGGAGTTCTCACACAAGACGCTCGCCATGGACGTCATGAGGCCACGGAGGAATGATCCTCCTCTGACTGTCATCACGCAGGACAGCATGACTGTAGAAGACGTCGAGACCATCATCAATGAAACCACCTACAGTGGGTACCCAGTGGTGGTGTCGCGGGAGTCCCAGAGGCTGGTTGGGTTCGTCCTCAGGAGAGACCTCATCATTTCAATCGGTAAGAGGCAGGATGTAGCACAGATAAATGATGTCGTCAGAGGCCGTAAGTGGCACTGGCTGTACTTGAGGAGTTTAAACACCCAGTAGTGATGGTGGCTGTGCTTTCTGGTGCCCGTGTCTCCATCCCTGAGCAGCAGGGTGGCTGCACACATGGAGTGGGAAGGCCAGGGTGGCTGTCCCGGTGCAATTAGTGTGGTTTTATGAATTCATAAACCTTAGGGCACGGTTGTGAAGCAGGAGACTTCTTACCAGCAAGGACGAGGCTTCCTGACTTCATGGGTGACTGGCCATGGAAATCTTTTATAACTGTTCATGTCTCAAACCTTATTTTATTAAGGCAGAAGATTGGTTGGTCTGAGTACTGAGTATTGGGTGGCTTCTGGGGTGGTGCTGTCAAACCTATAAATACTGATGCTGACGTTAAAGTCTTCCATCTCTTCACCACTGAAAACCAGGCTGGTCTTTCACTGGGTGGTTGGAGGCCGGTGGTGTTGGTGCTGGTGGGACTCCGTAGAGGTTCACCTGAGGTGATTTCTGTGGGGTGAGCTGAGCTCCTTGGGAAACAGGCTGCTTAGAGACCTGCAGGTGCTGTTTCCCAGCACGAGACCTGAGTGGAAGCAACTCCCCTCCCTACTCCAGTACCTCCTGTGGGTCAGTCCCCACTCCTGGCTCTCGGGGGTTGCAGGGGTGCTGGTGTGAGGTGACAATGTACTGACCAGGGGTGGCAGTTACCTTGGACGAAGGGGGACAGTGATGGTGGGGTCGGTGTGATGGTGGAGGCCGGCAGATGCCTGAGCTCTGCAGTGTGCTCTCCAGTGCATGGATGAATGCACGGGCTCAGCTCAAGCTTGACGACGTTCCGTGGGGTGGTGTGAGGGCTTGGTCCTGAGCCAGCTCTGTCCCGTGGCAGAACCAGGGCAGTTGGTATCATTGATTTGCCTGCGGCTGTGGATTGACCCCGTGTGTTCCCTCTCCCTGGTGAGTTTTCAGTGTCAGTTTGAGGGGGTGCAGTACAGTCCTGTGGAGCACAGGGATAACGTGGGTATTGCTCTTGTTCTTCTGATGAGCCTCTGGCCAAAAGCTCGTGACAGCACGGAATGAAATACAGAAAAGAAGGCACTATCCCATTATGTGTGTTGCCTTCCCCCTGTGAGGCTGCTTCGTGGTGTGACCACAAATTCTTGCCTTGGTGTTATTCTGAGTGTCCAGGGACTCGTTAAGGGTAATCCTTTCCCCGAGATGAGCGCTGTGCTGGGCTGGTGAGTGCCACAGGACGGGGTTTGGCTTTTCATCGCCAGCTCCCAACCTCCAGGCTGGTGGTTGGGCTCCAGGGAGGCCCCTTCCCAGTGAGGCTGGGAGTGCAGATACCAAACGGGAGCTGCGGAGTGGCAGAGACCCCGTTGCCCTGTGTCAGGGGGTAACACACCCGGGTAAATGTCTGAGGGATGGCAAGTGCTTCACTTCTTTCTGTGCTAGACCCTCATCACGGACATGGAGCCTGAGCCTGTAGGTTGAGCACTTAAAAATATCTCTTGAGCTTCTCTGCACAGGACCCACATCGGTGACTGATAAAAGTACGAAGCATTTCATCTACCTCCTCTTAAAACTGGGAATTAAAGGTCTCCAGAACCTGCATTCCTGTGGCCAGAGCAGGACACTGGCATGTGGGGCAGCCTTGGCACGAAGCAGAGCGTGTCCTGCTCCCACCCCTGGGTGAAACTTCAGAGTTCTTGGGGCTCATGATGGAGTTACTAGGAATTAGGATGGAAACAACACACTCTCTCTGGGGCATTGATTCCCTTGAGAAACAGTGCTGGGGAAGGAAAAAGGGACCTTTAGAGCCATCCCGGCGTGGGCAGAGAGAAGAGGGTGAGCTCGGCAAAGTAAAGGAGGGATGATTTTAATCAACTATTTTTTCTTCCAGAGAATGCCCGGAAGAAGCAGGATGGGATTGTGAGCACTTCAATTATTTATTTCACTGACCACTCTCCTCCACTGCCTCCGAGCTCCCCCTCTATGCTGAAACTCAGGAGCATCCTGGACCTCAGTCCTTTCACGGTGACGGACCAAACGCCCATGGAAATCGTGGTGGACATATTCCGCAAGCTGGGATTGCGCCAGTGCCTGGTCACTCACAATGGGTAAGGAGGCTGCAGGCAGAGCCCGGGGTGTGTAACCTGGGTTAAAACCTCCTCTCCTTTGAGCGTAGAGCACTGAGCATCACCTGGAGCAGTCTTTAGCTGGGAGAAAGCAGTTGTGAAGCCCCTGAGCCTCTTTCGGTTGAAGCCTGTAAGAGAAGACACTGCTCCGTAGGGTGATGGGTCTAAAGCTGATGGAAAGGGTGCATGATCCTCTTGGATTTGCCCGTGTGTGTCCTGTAACTGCTTGAATTCCCTCTGGCGTGGAGCAGAAGCTGTGTGGTTGGTGAGGTAGAAAGGAATGAGGGCAAAAACGGAAACAGAGCGGTCTGTTCCCTGAAGTGTGGCACCAGCAGGAGTTCTGTCCCTGGTCCCTGCCGTGGTGTGTTGGGACCAGCTGAGCTTCCAGCTCCCAACCAAGCTGCACTCGGTGTCCCTCCCTGACCCATGCTCTGCCCAGCTCCTGAGGGCACTAGGATTTAAAACGCAGCACTAGACATTCAGGTTGACCTTTTTGGAGAAGGTGGGCATTAAAAATTATTGCTATTTAGCTTTTGGTTATAACCTCCTTACCTTCTGTAGTGTAAAACACTGGTGGAGTTTCTGTTGGGGCTTGTGAGAGCCATGCTGTGTGTGGAACGTCAACTCTGTCATCCAAAAGGACACCTCAATTAAAATCTCAGGCCGTGAAGCTGGGTGAGAGCCAGGAGACACCTTCTGGGGGGTGGCCATGTGCTAAAAATGTGCTTTTGCTTTTCAGGAAGCTGCTGGGGATCATCACCAAAAAGGATGTACTGAAGCACATTGCACAGTTGGCCAACCAGGACCCCGACTCCATCCTCTTCAATTAAAGGCAGAGGTGTAGGTATCGTGTGTCCCACACGACAGAAACTTTATAGAAGATCCTGGATTTACTTCCCTATTTTTATTGAGACCATGGAACTGTTCTCAGCCTTTCCTTCCGTGGAGCTGAAGAAGATAATGTTTTTTTCTACCAGATAACCAATTGCACTACATAATCTGTGGAACATAATCTTCTTTTTAGAAGAAAAAACAAAGACTTTATTTACATTGCTTTTGTGAAGTTGCATTGGAAAGATTCCATGAAGGAGTAAAAGCAAAATGCTATAGAATTGTATCTCCTCTGCTTATTTTATTTGAACTCTGGTTACTCCCGTGGGGAGGAAGAGACAAGGTCTGTGCCTTCAGGCGTTCGGAAGGACAGGAGGACGTGGCACCCAGCGTTCAGGTGGTGGCAGAGGGACGTGGTTATGACTCAGGGGCTGGCTGTTCCCTATGAGCCACTCGGTAAAAGTGAGAACCTTGTGAAGCCAAAATAGGGGAAAAAAAAAAGAAAAAAAAAAGGCTAGCTGAGGGTGTTCTGCTGAAAGAAACAAAAACCCCACAAAACCAACCCCCCCAGAAGACCAGATCTCCTTAAAGTTGGCCCCAGTGATCCTGATTGGGAAGAAGCTTATTTTGATTAATCTTTGGTGAATGTATTTAATTACTCAGACGCTGCCTTGCCAGGAGAGCCCCCGGGAGGAGGCAACAGTGTGTTCTCATCGCAGCCCTGCTTCACACACATCCTCAGGATTTCTGCTCCTTGGTTGCCCTTGAGTGTGTCATTAAAATCACACAGGTCCTAAGCTGCTGCCCACCTCCACCGCCCTCCCCAGGGAGCTCCCAGCATGTTGGATGTTGCACAAGTGACCTCTTCTCCGTCAGGGTGTCCTGCTGGAGAGCCCTGTGCCGGGGGGTTTCTGTGGATGGGGGTGCCATTCCCTGCTCCCCTCCTCGGGCCCGGGTCCCGGCTCTGGGACTGGCAACGCTGCCACTTGGTGTCCCTGTCCCCCTCCCTCTCTCCTCTTGCCAACAACTATGCAATAAAGCCCTTCCTGACCACTGGTGGCCAACTAACTCCTTCCACGTCTGTGCTCCTCAGGTCCCTCTCCCACATCTGATCAAATTATTTTCCTGTTAATAAAACTGTGAGCGTTTACTGGAATTTGGAAGGTATACGAATGCTTTTGGAGGTTGATGGTGTTCCTCATGGCTTCAGTTGTTTTATGGTCCGTGGCTCGTTGGTGGCAGCAGAGCTTGCTGTTGCCTCTGGCTCTCCACTGAGGCTGCAGAAGGAGCCAAGCTGTTGAGTAATGGCCAAGAATGATGGAGTGAGGGCTCTGACCCTGCTTCCTGATGGACAAACCTCCGGCTCTTGAGCAGGTATTGCCCTTGGCACGGCCTCAGAGGCCATGGTGGCCCCAGGCTGAGTGGTGATGGGTTGTCCCCGTGGGGAGTGGTGGCAGGAGGTGGTGGGCTGTCCCATGGGGAGTGGTGGCAGGAGGTGGTGGGTTGTCCCGTGGTGGCAGGAGATGGTGGGCTGTCCCCGCGAGGAGACCGCAGCGTGCCCGTAAGTCCCTCAGAGCCTGGAACACTTCCTGTCCTGCCCGGTAAGTCTGGGTCTGAGTCCAGGTAAGAAGCCACCTTCTTCTGCATCCCCGGGGTCCCTGCAGGAGAGGTGGCACTAGCAGAGGCCAGGGATGCCCATCCCCTGCGTGCAGGCTTGGGACACCAGGAGGACAAAGCTTTGCTCTTTGCTGTTTCCTTACAGAGCTCAGGAGGGCTCCAGCTTGGAAACCACGGTCCAGCTCTGTGGAAGGGCTGGTGGGAGAGGCTCTGTCCTCAGGCCTGGCAGGTTTGTGTGTCCTCGTGGTGCCAAACCAAACGCTGTGGCGATGGGCAAGTAAGAGAGAAACGTGGCAATGGCACAAGAGCTTTCTCTGCCTCTGCCTTGAGCCGATCTCTCCACTTCTGCTTTTTTTCAGTGGGGAAACTGATAAACTGATAAACTCCCTGCCCCCGGGGACGCGCTTTATCGGCTGGAGCCTGGTACGTGTGGGGAAGGTGGAACCAGGAGGTGGGAGCGTGAGTTTGTGGCTGCTGTGTGTGTGTGTGGAAACCTGCCCAGCCCAGTGACCCCCGGAGTCGTGTCTGTGTCTGGAAAATATTGGATTGGGCGCTGCTCCGAGCCCAGAGCCCGAGGCTGGTGCAGGGATTGAGATGTCCAGCTCTGTACTGGGACCAGTGCCTCCCAGCCCCGGTGAGACCAGCGCTATGGGAGCTCCTGGCTGTTCCCTCTCTGCTTGCACTGAATTCCTTGAATTCCTACAAAAATAAGTTCAACTTTTCATCAAAAATTCCGTGCAGGGGAGAGACCGCACTCAAGTTTTTGTAACTGGAACGTTTTCTCTGTTGGCCCCGCTCAGTGGCGCTGCCAAGAAAGGGGGCTCCCCCTCCCCGGCCCCCCCCGAGGTGCTGCCGAGGGTTGTGCCCCGTCGGGTTGTTGTGTTCCCATTGCTCTACCTTCGGAGCGACTCCAGGAGGAGCCCTGGGCTTTCTCTTCGACTCTACACTCTGGTTGTGGAGTCGGGGCTGGAGAGAGCCCTCCCCTGGGATGAACAGCACCCCCGGGCCGGGGCTCCTTGGCTGAGCCAGAGACACTGGGTGCCCGGAGCGAAGGTGGGGACTCTCCTCGGTGCCTTCTCCATCTCTTCCCAAACCTCCTGGCTCCAGGGGGGAGGCTCTGTGAGAGGTGGCCATTGGGCACCCTCTTTGGGTGCCTGCTCTGGCTGCTGGCCTTAGGGTGGGGTGGGAGATGGGTTGGTGGGGTTTGCAGTGCTGGGGTGTGAAGGGGATGCAAAATCATAGGATGGTTTTGGTTGGGAGGGGCCTTTCAGCTCATCGGGTCCAACCATCAACCCAGCACTGCCCAAACCCACCAGTGTCCCCTCAGCACCACGTCTGCCTGGCTTTTAAACACCTCCAGGGATGGGGACTCCACCACTGCCCTGGGCAGCCTCTGCCAAGGCTTCACAGCCCTTTTGGGGAGATCTTTTTCCCAATCTCCATCCTGAACCTCCCCTGGGGCAACTTGAGGCCATTTCCTCTTGTCCCATTGCCTGTTCCTTGGGAGCAGAGACCGACCCCCCCTGGCTACACCCTCCTTTCAGGGAGTTGGAGAGAGCGAGAAGGTCTCCCCTCAGCCTCCTTTTCTCCAGGCTGAACACCCCTCAGCCTCTCCTCATCAGACTTGTGCTCCAGACCCCTCCCCAGCTCCATGTCCCTTCTCTGGACACATTCCAGAGACCCTCAATGTCTTTCATGGAGTGAGGGGCCCAAAACTAAACCTCCAGCTTGTCTCGCTTAGGGAAATAAAAGGGGAAAACGCTGTGTCCTGGGGGGGGGGATCCCTGAGCCTGGGTGGAGCTGGCTCAGCTGGTTTTGTGTGTCCCAAGGGCAGAGCTGGGGAGGTGCCGGTGCTGGCCAGGAGCTGGGGCAGTGCCAGGAGCCAGGGATGGTGCCAGGAGCCAGGGATGGTGCCAGGGACCAGCCGTGGTGTCTCTGTGGGTGGAGGGAGGGATGGCCGAGCTGCTGGCATCAGGCTGGCCGCTCCGGCAGCCCCCAGTCCAAGGTCTGAGCAGCAAAAGGCCGTTTGCTCTGGAAGGGGGAGAGAAATCCCCCTCCAAGGGTCATTTTCCCTTTCTCCAGAGCAGGATCTTCCCTCGGGGAGCTCAGTGCCTGTCCCGTGGGCTTTGCAGTGCTGGGGTGTGAAGGGGATGCAAAATCATAGGATGGTTTTGGTTGGGAGGGGCCTTTCAGCTCATCGGGTCCAACCATCAACCCAGCACTGCCCAAACCCACCAGTGTCCCCTCAGCACCACGTCTGCCTGGCTTTTAAACACCTCCAGGGATGGGGACTCCACCACTGCCCTGGGCAGCCTCTGCCAAGGCTTCACAGCCCTTTTGGGGAGATCTTTTTCCCAATCTCCATCCTGAACCTCCCCTGGGGCAACTTGAGGCCATTTCCTCTTGTCCCATTGCCTGTTCCTTGGGAGCAGAGACCGACCCCCCCTGGCTACACCCTCCTTTCAGGGAGTTGGAGAGAGCGAGAAGGTCTCCCCTCAGCCTCCTTTTCTCCAGGCTGAACACCCCTCAGCCTCTCCTCATCAGACTTGTGCTCCAGACCCCTCCCCAGCTCCATGTCCCTTCTCTGGACACATTCCAGAGACCCTCAATGTCTTTCATGGAGTGAGGGGCCCAAAACTAAACCTCCAGCTTGTCTCGCTTAGGGAAATAAAAGGGGAAAACGCTGTGTCCTGGGGGGGGGGATCCCTGAGCCTGGGTGGAGCTGGCTCAGCTGGTTTTGTGTGTCCCAAGGGCAGAGCTGGGGAGGTGCCGGTGCTGGCCAGGAGCTGGGGCAGTGCCAGGAGCCAGGGATGGTGCCAGGAGCCAGGGATGGTGCCAGGGACCAGCCGTGGTGTCTCTGTGGGTGGAGGGAGGGATGGCCGAGCTGCTGGCATCAGGCTGGCCGCTCCGGCAGCCCCCAGTCCAAGGTCTGAGCAGCAAAAGGCCGTTTGCTCTGGAAGGGGGAGAGAAATCCCCCTCCAAGGGTCATTTTCCCTTTCTCCAGAGCAGGATCTTCCCTCGGGGAGCTCAGTGCCTGTCCCCGTGGGGCTGCCCCCGTTGGGATGGGATGGGATGGGATGGGATGGGTGAAGCCGGGATCCTCTGCTCACTCCCACTGCAGGAGCAATGCTTTCCCATGGATTTACCCCATATCCCCCCTCCCCAGGGCTGTTTGACTCCTCGCCCGAGGAAATGGATTTGCTGCTTTTCCTCTTGTTCCTTTATGGCTCCGGGGAGAGCGGTGCCGGGGGGGGGTGTCCCCAGGTGCCCCCGTGGGCAGGGCGGTGGGTTTTCCCCCCCGGGAGCGGGGTCACAGCCCCGGCCGGCGCGGTGCGGTGCTGTATTTACACTGTCCCAGGGAATGGTTTCCTGGGGTGTTGACGTGGTTTTTGGCGTGGGTCCCTTCTCTGGACACATTCCAGAGACCCTCAATGTCTTTCATGGAGTGAGGGGCCCAAAACTAAACCTCCAGCTTGTCTCGCTTAGGGAAATAAAAGGGGAAAACGCTGTGTCCTGGGGGGGGGGATCCCTGAGCCTGGGTGGAGCTGGCTCAGCTGGTTTTGTGTGTCCCAAGGGCAGAGCTGGGGAGGTGCCGGTGCTGGCCAGGAGCTGGGGCAGTGCCAGGAGCCAGGGATGGTGCCAGGAGCCAGGGATGGTGCCAGGGACCAGCCGTGGTGTCTCTGTGGGTGGAGGGAGGGATGGCCGAGCTGCTGGCATCAGGCTGGCCGCTCCGGCAGCCCCCAGTCCAAGGTCTGAGCAGCAAAAGGCCGTTTGCTCTGGAAGGGGGAGAGAAATCCCCCTTCAAGTGTCATTTTCCCTTTCTCCAGAGCAGGATCTTCCCTCGGGGACCTCAGTGCCCGTCCCCGTGGGGCTGCCCCCGTTGGGATGCGATGGGATGGGATGGGATGGGATGCTCAGTGCCTGTCCCCGTGGGGCTGCCCCCGTTGGGATGGGATGGGATGGGATGGGATGGGTGAAGCCGGGATCCTCTGCTCACTCCCACTGCAGGAGCAATGCTTTCCCATGGATTTAGCCGGGATCCTCTGCTGGGTCCCACTGCAGGAGCAATGCTTTCCCATGGATTTACCCCATATCCCCCCTCCCCAGGGCTGTTTGACTCCTCGCCCGAGGAAATGGATTTGCTGCTTTTCCTCTTGTTCCTTTATGGCTCCGGGGAGAGCGGTGCCGGGGGGGGGTGTCCCCAGGTGCCCCCGTGGGCAGGGCGGTGGGTTTTCCCCCCCGGGAGCGGGGTCACAGCCCCGGCCGGCGCGGTGCGGTGCTGTATTTACACTGTCCCAGGGAATGGTTTCCTGGGGTGTTGACGTGGTTTTTGGCGTGGATTTCCTCCTTCCCGAGCCCAGAACAAGTCCGCAGCGGGGGGACTTGAAAGTAAAAGGAGATCTTGTCTGGAAGGGAACAAAAGACCTGGAAGTAGTGATGAACCCGGTGAATAACAACGGAATGGGGGGGGACACACACAGAGATTTCAGCCCCAGAGTGTGTTTTGAGACGAAGGGGCCGCGGGCGCTGGGGTGAGAGCTGAGCTTGGCGGCGGCCGAGATCAGAGGGTCCTTTGGCGGCGACTCCACAGGAGCGGTGTGTGCCCGGAGCACGTCCCCGCCGGGAGAAGAAAGGTCACCTGGAAAATGTTATTAGAGCTGCAGTTGTGTGTGTGTCCCCCCGTGTCCCCCCCACTCTCTGGTGGGGCAGGAGAAGGGCAGGGGCAGAGGGGGATGGGGACCCGCTGCCGCTTTCGGTTTCGCTGACTTGTTATTGTTTTTTATGGTGTGATTCTGAGCCTGGTGGACGTCACGGACTCATCAGAAAGTTGGGGGTGAGAAGGGACCTTTAAAGGCCACCGAGTCCAACCCCCGGCCCTGGGCAGGGACATCTTCTGCTCCATCAGGTCCCTCAGAGCCCCATCCCACCGGGCCTGGAATGTTTCCAGGGATGGGGCAGCCACCACCTCCCCTGGGCGACCCCAGCGTCTCACCACCCTCAGAGTGAAGGTTTCTTCCTCCCACCTGCTCTGAGCCCGGTGCTGGCAGGGCCAGGGGAGCCCCACGGGGCCTGTGGGCTGATCCCACGCCTTCGGCACGGGAAAGGCTTTTTTGGCTGCTTTTCCCCAGCGGGAGCGGTGTTGGGACTGGCCCCCTGGCACCCATCCTCTTCCCCGAAACCACTCGTCCCCCCGGGCACCCCCTTCCCTGGCAGTGCCCTCGCTCTGCCCTGCCAGCTGCAGGGCTGGAGGCAGGGATGGAGGCAGGGGTGGAGGCAGGGCAGAGTGACCCCCCCGCCACCCCCCACTGGGAAGGAAAGAGCCAAGTTACTCCATACCCCGCGGCTGCCAAACTGGGTGTATTTATACACACCCAGGCTTTTTGGCATGAAACTCAGGCCAGCGAGGGGTCAAGGTCTTTGCTGGTGGTGTCTGTGCCACCAGAAATCACAGACGGGTTGTGTGGGAAGGGACTTTAAAGCCCCCCCAGTGCCACCCCCTGCCCTGGGCAGGGACACCTCCCACCAGACCAGGTTGCTCCAAGCCCCCTCCAGCCTGGCCTTGAACCCCTCCAGGGATGGGGCAGCCACAGCTTCTCTGGGCAACCTGGGCCAGGCTCTCACCACCCTCCCACCAAGGAAGTTCTTCCCCACATCTCAGCTCCATCTCCCTCTTTCAGTGTCAAACCCTTCCCCCTCCTCCCATCCCTACACCCCCTCATCTAGTCCCTCCCCAGCTTTCCTATAAACCCACCCTGAGCCCTCAGGGTTGACCCACCAGTCACCCAAGGTCTTGGAGCCTTTTAAACAGACCCACGTCCGTGGGCATCTCCTGGGGGTGGGGAATCTGAGGCACGCAGGCTCCATGAGTGGGCAGTTCCTGCCTGCGCTCTCGGTTGCTGCCTGACCCCACTCTCTCCATCCCTGGCTGCTGGAGCAAAGGGAGGGGGTGAGGGCCAGAAGGTTAATTAATGACTCCTCCATCTTCTTCCCACCTCTGGGCTCTTTGGTGGGTGTTCCTGGAAACAAAATCTGTGTATAATGTTGTGTCAAGGAGCTCTCAGCCTGGAGAAGGGGATGAGCCGGGTTCACTCCCCAGAATGAAAATGTTTGGTTTCTGAGGATGGTCTGTGATTCTGAGATGTGGCGCTTGTGGCCCTGGGGCTGATCTTGTCCCGTCTTCAGGACCTTCCATTACTGTCAAATGAAGAAAAACCAGGACCTGTGTTGGTAGAAGGAAGCAGGAGGTGGCCTGGCCGGGGGCTGGGAGCAGGAGCTGGGATGAGCTGGGTGCTCCCTGGGGGGGCAGGTTTGGGGCTGGAAGGATTTTAGGAGCCCTGGGAGCCAGGGTCATGTTGTTGGTCACAAAGTAGTTGGGAAGCAGGAGCAGGATGGAGAGGGGGAAGATAAAGGGACTGTTTCGAAGTGGCTTTGGAAAGGAGGGGGTTGGGGGGGTGTTTTGCAGGGGATGGGGATGTGGGATCCATCTGGCACCAGGTCCCAGCCCCAGCTGAGGATGCAGAGGGGGGGCCCAGGCCCAGACAGTGGGGGCAAGGAGTAGCCCCTGCCTGGCCACGGCGGGATGGACAACGAGCCCCCTCAGCACCGGGGGGTTTGGTGGTGCCTTGGGCTGGGCTTGGTGACCCCAAAATGGAGAGAGGAGGAGCAGTGCAAGGACCCCCCACCCCAGGGCAGATGGGTGAGACGTGGCTCCCGAGAGCTGAGGGAGCAGGGGAGGAAGAGAAACAGGGACCGGAGCTGGTGGAGGAGCAGCCCCTGCTCCTGGGGGATGAAGGCGCCCGGCTGGGAAGCAGGAATTGTCTCCCTGGGAATGCCCCCGGTCTCTGCCGGGGCGAGACGGGGCAGGACCCGGGTATCACCCACAGCCCCCCCCGGGCTCCTGGGAACTGCACCAGCCCCTTCCCCTGCCCCGGGCTGCCCTGGCATCCCCCACCCGGGCTGCACCCCAGCATCCCTGTGCCACCGGGCTGTGCCCAGGCAGGGGGGGGGCAGTGGGGGAAGCTTCAGGGGGGGAATTGCCTCTCTGCTGGGACAGGGACAGGGAAAAAGAGGGGCTGAGCCCCAGCAAGGGGGGTGTCCAGGTGCCAGGGGTGCCCAGCTCCCAGCCGAGTGTGGGAACCAGCCCCCAGGATGGGGTGTCACAGCACCCCCGGGGTCCCCGATGCAAAGGGGTGCGAGAGCGGTGCTGGGGTACAGGATTTATTGAAACCAGCACTGAGACCCCCCCGCAGCCGTGCTGGGAACAGGGGGGGCTTGAGTCCTTCGTGGGTGTTGCCGTCCTGCCCCTACACACCCCCAGTCTCAGTGCGATACAGAGTACACAGTAAGTACAAAGGGGCTGTATCCAGCCCAGTGTCCGTCGGCCGAGCCACCCTGTCCACGCTCTGCCCTGCTTGACCCCACCTTTTGCATCCAATGTGGATTTTAACGCCGAGGGGATGGTCCTGTCCCTCCCGGGTCCCGGGCTCACACCCCAGGTGAAACCCCGCCGGGGAGCGATGGCCGGGGCTAACGCCGGGATGCTGTGCTGGCCCGGCGGGGCTGGGAGGACCGAAACCCTCCAAGGCAGGAGATGCTCGGTGAGGAGCTCCGGGGAGGTGATGGCACCGCTCGGCTCTGCCCCGTGCCTGGGTGCGGCTGCTTGGGGCTGGTGACAGCTCCAGGCTGGTGACAGCTCCAGCCTCCTGGTCCCGCTCTTTGCCCTGAAGTCAGCTGCTGGCGCCGCTCCAGGTTTCTGACGAGCCCTGAACTGAAACTCCTTCGCTCTTTTCCAGAAGATGAGTTCTTTTCCAGAAGATGACGCTGGACCTGCCTCGTCCTTGTGGGCTGTCCCCCCCCGGGGCTGCCAGCCCTGTGCCCGTGCTCGCCGTGCCTGCCCCAGCACCCCCAGGACCCCGTGAACCCGGGTCTGTCCCCACCAGCCGTGAGGTCTGACTGGCAGAGGGTCCCCCCGCCACGGGGACACTTTGTCTGGTGGTGGCTGCCGGGACCCCGGTGCCTCTCCTGCAGTGGGGACCCGCTGGGTGCTACCTCCTCCCTGTGCTCAGACGGGAGCCAGGGAGGTGATGGGAGCCAGGGAGGTGAGGTGCCACCATGGCCAGGATGTCCCCCATCCTGCGTGTCCCCCGTGGGCTCTCGGAGACCCTTCCTGGCTCATGGGCTTCCTCCCAGCTGGATGGCACCGAGCACAGCAGGTCCCTGCAGGCAGCCACCCCCCGTGCCCGGCATCCCCCGGCCATCGGGCTGGGGTCCGGTTGGGAAAGCCGCTTCCCCGGGGCCAGGCGGGAGCAGCGGGGAGGTGGCAGTGGCCGTGGCCATCACAGGTCGAGCCGAAAGGCCCCGAAGTAGCTGGCGGCCGGGTCGTTGTACTCGATGGCCAAGGAGGAGACGGAGACGAAGAGCTCGTCGCCCGCCCTCAGCTCGAACAGCCCCCCCTGGTAGAGAGCGTGGAGCCCGTAGTCCGCCTCGGGCGCCCAGCACTTGGTGCCCACCCCTTTGAGCAGGAGGATGGGCTGGCTGTAGGAGGTCTTCCAGTTGATGCACTGGACGAGCTGGGGGACGGAGAGGCGGGCGCCCCCCCCGTCGCTGGGGTAGCGGAAATAGATCTGGGAGTAGACGTAGTACTTGCCCGCCTGGTTGACCCGCAGCCGGCCGTCCCGGTAGGTGATGTTCTGCAGGTGGGAGTAGATGGTGCTGTCTTCCCAGCGGGCGATGGCGTGGCGGCAGGACTGGGAGAGGTTCCCGAAGCGCCTGGAGTTGCCTGGGGAGAAGGAAGGGTCACCCCGGGGGGTGTGAGATGCTGTGGGGAGCACCCGTCGGGGTCGGGAGAGAGGGAAGGGGGTGGCTGGAGCTCCCTCCCACAGCCATCCCGCTCGGAGGGGTGGAGAGAGCAGTCTCGGGCTGGCCAGGAGAAACATCTCCCCATCTGTCACCAAACGCACCCTCCCATCCTGGTCCCCTGCCCCTTGGGTGAGACCCTTCGACCGTTCCCCCGTTCCCAGCTGGGAAACCCACCGGTGCCCGGGGGGGAGGTCCCCGACTCACCGCCCTGGGCCAGGCTCTGGGGGCGCAGGGTGAGATGTGCCGAGGGTTTGCCGGCCGTTTTGGGAGGAACCTGCCCCTCCGAGGCGTTGAAGTGGCTCCGTCGGGCCTCTGCGAGGAAAGGGACACGGGGCTGTAGAGGGGGGGGCGCGGGGATGCCCCGCCGGGCCGGGAACTGCCCCACTGACCCTCCCCAGAGGGAGGTTATTTGGGGATGGAAACGTCTGGTCAATCATTACCCAAGGCTTCTGCTCCCCGGCCCCAGCCAGACACACGGGGCTGTCCCTCCAACCCCTTCCCCGGGGTCACCTTATGCCCTTCACATAGAGTTTGCCCCCGGAGCCCCCCCCGGGGCCGCTGGCACCCCCGGCCACACGCCGAGCCCTGGGCACGTGGCTCCGTCCGTCCGGTTGCCCCCCGGGTACTCACCCTTCACCGCGCTCCGGCGGACGGCGTTCTCCGTCACCTGCAGCGTCAGGGGAGAGAGACAGCCCCAACGTTAGAGGTGACACGGGGCTTCCCCCCTCCCCGGCTCCTCTTCCTCACCTTCCTCACCTTGTCTTTCACACTGGGCTCCACCAGCTCCTCGCTGCACCCCCCTTTTCCCCACTCCCCTCTCAACCCACCCTCCCCATCACCCTCTGCCACCCCCCCAGCGAGGCCGATGGGGAAACTGAGGCAGGGGGGGCAGACAGGAGCTCTCCCATCAGCTTCCCCATCCTCCCCCTTGGGCCCCCGAGTCCGGGCTCACCGTGGCCACGTAGGCTTTGATGGTGTTGGCCAGCTTGAGGCAGGACTGGTTGGTGATGAGCTCCTCCAGGCTGGAGCCCTCCTGCTGCCTGTTGAGGACCTGCAGGCACCGCAGCTCCTCCGTGCTCCCCGGCGCCTGGGCTTTCAGCTGCAACACAAACACCCGGACCCCCCCACGTCAGAGGGGACCCCGAGACCCCCAACGCCGAGGGGGGGTCCCCTGCTGGGACGGGGCTGGGTGGCAGGAGGCTGGGGGCGGGGGGTGTCCCAAGTTCTGCTAAAAAATCTGGGGTTTTTTTATGGGTTGGACAGGGTGAATCTGGTCTCGTCCTCCTGGGAGCCCTGCCAGGAGCCAGTCTTGCTCATCCCAGCTCTTGGGGAAACTTCCATGGAGTTCCAGCTCTTTGGGAGACGTGACAGCCCCTTCCCACGGCGTTCCAGCCCCCAGCGCCAGGAGGAGCCCGGACTCGAGGACACAGCACCAGGTACAGAAAAAGAACCCAAATTTCCCGATCCCCTTTGCCATTTCTCTCAGATTTCTCCATCTCCTCCCCCTCTTCCTCCCCTGCCCTGGGGCTTCTCCAGCAGCAAAACCAGGTCCCAGCTCTGAGCCAGGAGCTCCCAGCTCTGGGGACAGCGGTGGCCCCGTGGGGCTGCCCCAGGAGCCAGCACCGTGCTCCTCCTGCTTCCCCGCAGCTAAATGTGCTTTTCCAACCCAAACTGGGGCTGCAGAATGAGCCCTGCCCCTCCAGCTGTCCCTGGGGTGGCAGTGGGGGACAGGGAAGGCCGGCCATGGGGTCTCACCCCACCGTGCTGCTGTCTAGGGTGTGGGGAAACTGAGGCACGGAGGAGCCGGGAGCTGGGAATGGGCACCAGCACCATCCTGCCCGTATCACCGGGGCCATCCCAGACCCCAGGGTAGAACTCGGGAGTCCTTGGCCTTGGCCACCTCGTCACCCGGGGCTTGGCCACCCCCAGCACCCCGTGTGCTTGGGCAGTGCCATCTCCTCTGCGCTGCCAGGAGCACTAATTAGGCCAAGTGCACTAATTGCCCGCACAACTGGGGTCATCCCTGCTCCGACCCATCCCACTAAGGTGGTGGCACATCCCACAGCCTCGTCCCTCTGCGTCCCAACAACCGCCCGGCACCGACTGAGCACGCTAATTGCCTTAATGAGGGCTCCCAGGGACAGGTCCCAGCAGCACCTCTCTCTCTGCAGGGGACCCCCCACCCCCCTTCTCCTCTCCCCTCCTGGGGACCTTGGGCTGGGTGGGCTCTTTGAATTAAGGAAAAAGTGGGAAAGTTGTGTAAAAGTGGAGGCAGGGGAAGGGGGTGGGGGCAGGGGGTCTGTGCTGAGTGACCCAGTGTCCCCGAGTGACCCAGTGTCCCCGGAGATGCTGAGCTCTGACTGCCTGCCCCCAGCACAGGTTCCAGTGAGGGAGGGACCCAGTGAGGAGTCTCCAAAATCAGCCCCAAAAGGACAATTTAAGTGGTTTTTCTCCTGCCGTCCACCCTTCCCTGGGGCTCTACCCCCCCCACCCCCCAAGTCCCCTCCTCTCTCCCTGCCTTTCATGTAAATCCCTCACAGCGGGTGGCACCCGGGGCTGGGAACAAAGACCAGAGCTTTGTCTGCTCCAAAGGATGCTCCTGGGCACCAGCCGGGTCCTTCCTCCTCCGGCCCTTTGTATCCCTCCCTCTGCTGTGGGTTTGTGCAACACTTGGCACAGCAGGACCCTGCTCCTGCTGGGCCCTCCATGGCGGGTACCAGCCGTGGAGCCGCTGCCCTGCCCTTCCCTCTCCCCACAGCTCAGATCTCTCCCGGTCGGTGTTTTTTTCCCAGTTTGGGCAGGGTTTGGCACCAGCGACGCCGCGGGTCGGTGGGAACGGCCGGATCAGGGTTATTTTGTGCAGTTAATAGGGGGGAGGTGCCCAAGAGCTGCTGGGATGGGGTTGGGGGGTCCCAGCCAGGCCCCTTCCAGCACCTCATGAAGGGGGTGAGGAGGATTTGGCTGTCCTGGTGTGGGGGGGAGGGTGGGAAAGGGGGGGGGGGGGTGGGGAAGGGGGGGGGGGGGTGGGGAAGGGGG